TGTATATAATATTATACTAATACTGTTCAAAAGATTATCTGTGTATCAGTTGTTAAGCATGCTGTACTCCTTTATTTCAAAATAAATAATTTTTAATTAGTTAGAATACTGGTATAGGTATTCGAAACAAATATGAAATAATATTGGAAACTACAGCTTATTTCAATTTATAAATATAATTAAAGGTGAGGATGAAATAAAAAAAATGACAATCACAGTTAAAGTTTAAAAAAATGTGAGAAAACTGGTTATTAATAACTACTCGAAAAACGATATTACCATTTGTGTGTAAAGATTAAAATATATAGCATCGTAAACTATAGTGTTAATAATTACTAAATCCCCTGTTATCAAAGAAAAAAAATTCTTATCCTGCAATCTGCCATTCAACATTTAATTCTGGGAGCAACGTACTATCATCCTTTGATTTTTTTTCCCATGATTGTCGTACAGAAATATCTTGTATTCTTACGAAAGCACGAATTGGTCATAAATCCTCTATTTTTTGGGTTTAAAAAATATTTACTTAAATTTAAGATATTTCTAAACATTAACGAATGTAAAAATAAAATAAAAAATTACACTATTGTGCTGTAACGTTCAAAAATTACGTAAATATAACAAACTTGTACATAATGAGGATGCAGTCAATAAAATAGTGATTTTCGCCACACAAGCGGCATCATCACTGATAGTAGGATAGAATTAGCAAAAAAATCTAGGTGGTAGTTAAGCGGTTTCAGAACAAATCTAAATAGTTTTAGACTCCAAATTGTGTTAGCCAAAGGCCCAAAAAAATGGTAATAGTGGCCAAAAATGGTTTTTGGCATCCAGGAAAAAACTGGAGAGTAGGACAAAAAAGTTGTGTTGGTGAAAAAGATGCGCAATTTTAAGACGAAAAAAATTAGCTCCGGTGGGATGAAATCGGTCCAACCGTTTTTTCGCAATTTGAAAAAAAGTGCTGCGGAGGGCCGTTTTTTTTTTTAAAATCCATAACTCGCGTTCCTTAAAATATTAAGACTTGAAAATTAAATACAAGATATATCTTGTCTCCTTTAACATCCACACCAAATTAAGGGACCTGCGAAACAACGCCTAAAGGACTAATGGGACCCCCCGATCGAGTGCACCTGAGTGACGAAAAATATTTTTCCTACTAATACGGGCACAGTAGCCACTCAAAAATGCCCAGGAAAAATTCATTTATTCAAAATCGATTGTGTTTAATACGAGTATTATGGTCATTTAATCTTTTGTGACGTATTCCAAGTTGGTTGCAGATGCATCGACTGCTGTAAGACTTTGATATAATTTTCATTCAACTTTTTTAAAAACACTTTAAGTTTCAACGTTATCAACGTTTTCGCAACATTTTTAAAAACTTTGTTCTTATAAACATAACTCTGACTGCCGATTCAGATTTTTACTATACATTTTTAAAAGAACTTGATTAAAAAAGTTGTAATTTGTCAATAATTTAGTGCAAAACACTCAACAAAATGATCAATCAACACCACACACGTCAGCTATTTTGCCCTCAACTCCCCATTCATAATCTTTGGCCCACCTCTTGTCACCTTGCGTCTAGTACATTCTTCATATATTCCACCGAAAATTTTCTCGCACTCATGCACATTCCATTATCCCTTCAGAGGTGGCACTCGACTTTGCCACTCGACTCCATTATGCCACGCAAATCCAACGACTGTTCTATCTTTCTCTCGACCCTCTCTACTCTATCTCCATCATTCAACCACTCACACGTGCGCGTACCTCTTTTGTGGGTCCAGCTCTTGTGATAAACGCTCGAGTTTGCTCTGCGTGACACATCAACAGAGTGCACCGAGGGAGTGAAAAATTGCCGAGTTTACGGATGCACGCGCGTGTTGTACTACACTATATAGGTACGTACGATGTCTGAATTAGCCACTAAAGCGCGCGTGGCGTTTTGACGCCTTTAATAGTGGTTTCGTCCACGGCTTTACTTTTTAATCTCGTTGAGTTTTATCAGACATTAAAACCTTTTTCACTTGACTTAATTAAAAGAGACATTTTCGACCTTTTTTTTAGACTAACTAACTTGTTTCAGACAGTCAAAACGATTATTTGCTTTCCATTGGTAAGGACTCATTAAAATTTTCATGTTCAACCAGTACTCGGCTCCACGAACACGGGTCACATGATAAAGTGTTTACGTGAGTAGAAAAAAAAAATTTCATACGTTTTGTTTGTCAGTTCGTGTCAATCATGATTACGATAGAGATCCTTGTATCGTATACTCTAAAAGTAAAAGGGCTTCGAGTCTACGTGCTACGGTGAACAAGATAAACGAACAAATCAAATATCTGATGAGCCATGCCAAAAAAAAACTAATTAGTTACCTTAAAATCTGAATGAACTTTTTGCTATTCACCCTCCGCTGGCGCGCGCTTGCGCGCATCATGTACAGTTACTGTATAGCTCGAGAGATTGTTTTTATCGCACTGCAGAAGAGAAGCGCAGTAGGGCCGCGCGAGGATTAAAACAGGGAGAGGGGAGCTTAATTTAATCCCTTCGTGAATTTGCATACGACTCTCAGGCAATCCTTCTGAGGCCAAAGAAGCTTTTGTGGAGATTCAAGCAGCTTTCCCGTCCCCTTCGGGGTTTACTCGTGTAAACATCGCATTCTTCGGCCGTGAAAGCGTGCCTCTTTTCGTAAAATTGCGAATAATTACCTTTCTCACTTACTACGTGGTGCTGATTGTGCCTTCCGTGAATACAAATGCTCGTTCACCGTTGCTCCCTTGATTTTTGATCTCGTTGGATAGCAAAAAAAAAAAATTTCAAGGACCACTATTAAGGATCCATCCTCATTGTTAATAAAAAATGTAGTATGCAAATAAATAGAATTTTTTGGTGTTGATACGTCCAATAAACAAAATTTGATGGATATGAATAATTACGAGGTTTTAGTTGTGAGTAATTGTTTCATAAGCAACAAGCAGCTTGTCAAATTTTGTTAGATATTGCAGACACTGTGAAATATATAAGGATTATGAAGGATCGAAAGTAACATAATAACAAATCCAGATGTATTTTTGAAATACACTTTATTCGACTTTGGTCAATAACTACGGTAACAATAGCCACGTGGTAAAGATATGTTGTTTTATTGGAAATAATCGTCGGGATGAGAGTATACAATTATGGATAGAGAAACAGGAAATGGATTGACAAGATGCAATCACTTTTATTGTGTTGTATAATCGACCAAAGTTATTCCTGCATATTTCACAGCTTAATGAATACCGATGTAAGAGAAAATTATTTTCTCGTCATTTTGTTGTTTAAAAAATGATAGTCTGATTCTTTGCTTTCTTTGATCCTTCTTTTCCTATACCTTTTGAACTCCTTCTAAACTCTATTGTCTTTTGATTTTTTTTGACATTACAGTAACATTTTTTTCTGCTTATGCATTTTTGTTTTTCAATAAATTAAAATGAACAACCCTGCTAACTCTCACATTGCACTATTCCCGTGATCGTAACTTAATCAACATATTACGCTTTAATATAAAGAAATTAATATAATATATACTATGAAAACATAATGAGAAAAGTAATAACTCATCGTAACATACCAAAAAAGTATGCTTCTCGCATTTTGATCACACTCAAAAAATTGCACTTTTTCTTTACACAGTTGTACATTTTGAAACATACCCAAAACCGCTCATATATATATAAGTCTTTGAAATTGAGTTTTTGACAGCTCATCCCATGCCTCAGTTTTCAAACATCAAAATTTAAAAATTACTCTGGGATTCTCTTGAAACTGCTACTGTTATGACTTTGACACTTTCGAAAAACGCAATTGTTTTCAAACTGATTCCTAAAAATTTGATGAAACTAGAAAACAGTGTGCTTACGTGGTTTTTTACACAAAGTTTATGTGCTGTTTTAGAAGAGTTCTACAAAACATTCAAAAAGGAAAACAAATTGTTGCGTACCAAAAAAAAGTTTGTCACAGCAAGTAGCAAGTTTGCTCATATCGTTGTCAGCGTCATCAGCTATATCATACACAGAGTTTTTATTTTTAATAGTAAAAAATATTGTAAGCTTCTAACAAATTTTAAGTTGAAATATATTTTCGCTAAAAGCCAAAGTTATTTCTTGAATTTTGAAATTTTTCAATAAAAATTTTAGTTATCAGCCTCAAAAAAGCAAGGGACGGGTAAGAGCTGAGAAAAATTTAATTTGGGAATAGTGGGTACCCTAATTTATTCATATAAACTACGTAAAAAATTACAAACAATCGTATTTTCTGACTACGAAGAAAAGTTTTAAAGCAACTAGAAAGTAGTTTTCTGGAAAATAAAAAATGTAATCAATATATTTTTTACAGCTCAAATATTAGTAATAATCACCTTTACTTGTCGTTATTAATTAAAAATCATCTAATTTCAATGAGGAGATTTTTTCATTCATTACATACAGTATCCATATAAATAATGCAGTAATCTATTTATATACACAACTATGTACACGTATAATTTTAATTCAATCCATCCAATACTCACGATCGTAATTATTTATACATATATCACTCACCAATGTAGATACCCAATGTGTCAACGGTGTATGGACTCGCCAGAGCAACGCAGGTAGCCTTTCTACACTAGTTATGTGTAAACAGTATCGTTGATAAACATATAAATCTGTCATTAATACGATCCTGTACTTTGTACACATAAATGTATCAGATAACCTTTAAACTTGAACGAAAAAAATAAACAGCTTGAAAAAAAATTCAATTTTTCTTGCTTGTCATAAAATAATGAAATGAATTTCGTAGTAATAACTAAAAATTTTGTTGTCAATCAATAAAAAAAGCATTCATCTTTTGTAAAATTCACCAATCAACGCTTCCTGCTCATTTTCGGCATTCAACTCTTTCTCTCCTTCAGTATCCACCTGATTCCGAATATTCACATTGATGCCCAGGCGGCGCATGTCCTCGTCCATAATGGTACCACGTCCTCAGTACGGCCGCCAGACATTATTGTCGGGTCTGACATCATCTTGTACTCTGACACTACAGCTGACGTCAGCCAAAGCTCTGTGCTGTTCCTGGGCTTCAGCGGTCTGGAACTGATTGTTGTAAAGCTGAGAATAAAGGATGGTAGGGAAGACACTTGGCGCTGGGAAATAGTTGTTGGTGCAGTTCTGACCGCCAGCACCAGGTCCTACGAACGTCTGGTCCTGTTCATGCACGGGACTTTCCGTTGTGCTTGAATCGGTTGAAAGAGAACGAGGCGATACGTAGTCTTGGTACCTTTGACTGGCAGCACTGCTCGTCATCAAACTGTTTAGATGGTCTAGTGGATCTCCCTGTGCTCCTGGTGTCGTTGTGTCTGGAACTGAGATGTGGATAGAAGTTTGTCGTTTTAGCACAATATATCTCATTTAAACTAGATCTGGTTCTACGTAAAAACTACGTGACGTCAATACAAAAATATTTTTTAGTTAATACAACATTTCAATTTAGCATGCAACTTAAAATTAACTATAGATTTGTCAATTTTTCCCATTAAAAATGCATTTAAAAAAAAATGACACCGTAAAAAACTTACGAGACGATACACTGGAAAAAGCATCCTGCTGACTGGCCGTATTTGCATTACTAGTATTGTTACTAGCTGGTTGGGCGGCCACAGTAACGCCATTTGTACCATTAGCTGTGGAGTCAGGTGCGGTCTGGTTGTTGTTCATCGCAGTCGTATCACCAGCAAACGTCGTTAGGGCTGAGGTGGTTGACGATGCGGATGGTACCGCTGGTGGTGGAGGTGGAGGTGGAGCAAACGGCGTCTGAGCCGCACACGAGGACAGGGGCCCTGGTAGGTAACCAGCGTAACCTGCAGTACTGCCGTAACTCCATGAGTTGCTCGCTGTCAGGCCAAACTGAGACATGTCTAAAATATTGCGGATAAAAGATTTTTTATATAATAAGTCTAAAGTATACTTTAAAAAATAATGTTATTAAACAAGCTTTTAATTTATTTTTTTTGTTCATCCATTATGAAATGCAGCAGTTACTAAGAAAAAAAAATCGAAACCAAGTGAGAAAAAGTTCTGGTATCAACGATAAGCTCTGACAGTCTAACCTTTGCCCAAAATTACTGTGAGATGTACCAGTTAAAAAAATCGAATTTTTGTAAAAATACTCGTTTATTTAGTGTCCGAGTGTCATCATGCATGCTCTTGAACTTTTTCCAGCAGTATTTGTTTACACAGCCGGAAATTCCTCGGATGTTACACTATGGATATTTGGTTACAGTGCCAGGGAATGTTATCGCTTCAATAATATAAGCCTACTTTGATGTACTCGCAAGAGTTTTGTTTGACAAAAAAGTTTCAGCTCTTCAATGGTTAACACGTTTTTGTAAATTTATCCAATAATCGCTTTTTTTTGCATACTACCTTTTATTAATGCTTGAGAAGAAAATGTATTTTCATCACATAATAGTAATCTAATAAGTATTTCATTTATTTTTTTCAAGAAAAATTTATCTCAAGAACTCTTTTTCAAGTCAAGTAAAAATAATCCGAGATCTCGATGGAAGATAGCTACCATCGGAAATCACGATAACCACTCCCAATGGGAGTTCCTCATCTCTCTTTCTATTTTGCTTATCCGCAAGACAAAACTAAGTTGCCTTCCTGTGGAAGCCTAGGCGGCGGCAATAGTAGAAGCAGAAGCCCTAGCAGTGGCTGCTAGCTTTTCAACGCTGATGTCTGTTGCCGCAGCGGCGGCGGCTGCCGTTGCCTGGCGCAACCCCTTTAATATAATATTTAATCTAGCTTTGAACAGGCTTGCGGTTTCCGCCTCTGCGAAAAGGCTCTGCAGCTCCTACTCGCCGGCTCTGTCTTTCTCTCCTTCTCTTTTTGAATGCGCGTGTACGTAATACTCGGGGGTTATATATCTCTTCACCGTCAAAATTTCTCTCCGTCTCTTTCTGACGCGTCTCTGCACAGCTATGTTAAAACCGGAGAGAAAGAGAAGGATGACCTGAAAAGAGTGCTTACGAAGGTATTCGCGAACGAGCATGAATATATATGCTAGTTTATAGAGAGATCCAGCACGAAAAGTTTCTCTCTCCTGCACCTCCCTTCAGCCTGTCTGCCTGCAGTACCACCGCATCTTCCTTTGGTCATGTTGAACCAGCTGTATTTACGTGAATTCCCGGCATGGAAACCCTGGATCGAAGTCTCGATAATCGAATCCATGGTAAGCTGTATAGGATGGGGTGATGGTGCGTTGATTCAGTTATGTTAAATTAGTTATCTGGTGTAATTAAGGGGGCGAGGAATTTATCGGTTTCTTGTTTATTTGTCCAATTAAAGTTTTACATGCTACACCATGGCATTTACGTCATATTATTCAAATCTTTGTGGAAATTCTTGACTTACTAGTTTTTGCAGCATGAAAAAAAACTCTTTTTACCAACGTTCATCATAATTTTTGTACAGTGTTATTTCAATATATATGATAAAAATGTGGGAGCCTGTGTTTTTTTAAGTAACATATATTTCATCTACATGTATACGTAAAAATGCATTGATTTTATCATGAAGAAAAAAGACTTTTGGTGGTTCTTATGAAGTTGTGCATCAATCTTTTTACTTCCAATGCCTTGTTAAGGTAGTATATACAAAAACTGTTTTCTTAAAAAAACGTTGACTTAGAATACATGTTGGTAACGTTAATATATAAAGCAAAGTCACAAAAATTGTTGTAATTGCTAACGGTGAGAAGTACTCAACCAATATTGCATATTGATTCTTTACACTTCTAAGATGATTTTCGTATGGAATCAAAGTCAGTGAGTCTGCTGACAATTTTCCCAAGAAAAATATTGATTACCATAATCATTTACTGATAGTACGTAAATTACAAAGATGTTAGACCTGTAGCTGCGTATTCAAGATAGAATTGAAACTCTGACGGTCTGTGATGCGTAAGGAACCTACGCTAATTTCCACCCTGGATAGCTAATATAACTGGGTGCTACGAAAAAAAGTGTTTTTAACACCAATATCCCTGGCACAATACTCAGAAACGTCTGGCCAGAGTAAAACCAGTTCCGAAGTTTAAGGGTGACCTGGTGCTACCAAAGCACCTTTTCCTATACAACAGCAGCTATGGAAAACAATTTTGAGGAGTTTGGGCAGCCACATACGTTGAAAGTATTATCAGCCTCTGATTGAAAGTATCACCGTTGGATCTTTTCAGGACCATTGTGAATCTTTACGCTCATTAAACTATCGTCAACATTATCGGTCCCTTTTAGGACCATCTAACGTTGAATTACCTTGCTAACGAATATTAATTTCACAACTACCTCCGAAACTATTTGAAACCAAATTCCAACCACGATTTGTCCACTAATAGACTATCTTACTAATATATAAAGCAAAGTCGCTAAAACCGTTGTAATCCCTAACCGCGAAAACTACTGAACCGATTTTGCTGAAATTTTGCACACTGATTCATGATACTTCCTAGATGGTTTTAGTATAGTTTTTATCTTAAAAAATTAAATAACAATAGCAATTAATGAGCTCAAATTTTTGCAAAAATACGCCAGCTTTTCACTTTAGTCCAGTAAAATCAACTAGGTGGCGTCAACATAAAATCGAGGCTACCTGCAACATAATTAAATAAGTGTGGTTATTTTACGCCGGAGCGTCTCGATAGTGATGCAGTTGTGTTTCGGGCAGTTCAACGAGCTGCACAGATAATGCTGATGATAGTTTTGCAGCTGGATATTCCGGTTACGAATGCGGATGACACTCTTCTCTAAGGGGGAAGGGACCTAGGTGTCCATTCACCCTGAATCTCGACGAGTGCGATCAAAAAAAACCTCATTCCAACGATGACGTCTCTGGCACAATACCAGGAGACTTATCTAGCCAGAGCACAATCTGCACCAACTCTTCAGAGTTGTGTTACACTCCCACCATCCCGCCTGGGACAGTCAGGAGAATTTTAGGCTACAAATGTAAGCCAGGGAGAAAACAGCTGTGAGGGGCACGGGCAGCCACAACGGCTACCTTCTTAGTCGTCGCGTCCCCAACGCGCCTACCCACATGTTTCTGTCTAACGATGAGCAGTTGGTTATCCGGGGAACGACCCGGAGACGAGATATTCTTTGGTCAGCGGCGTAATTCCCTCCATCACAGTCTCCGTACATCGAGACTCCCAGAGTAAGAATCAAGCAACCATAGCAAGCTCTTTATCATCAGGAATAATAATAAAGAATAGCCTGGAAGTTTCACCACTGGCGCTTTTTAGGGCCATTATAAGTATTTGCGTTCCCTACTTAACCATCAATTTAATCGGTTCTTTTTAGGATCCACCTAAGTGTAAACTACCTTGCCAACNTGTTTGAAAAAACTGGTAGGTATGTTATGTCAAATGTAGCTACGATAAATCTACTAAAATATTAGAGCCATGTCATGTAAGTTATGCCTTTAGTACATGTATATAATTATCAAGTTAAATTAAATTACATAATCTTCCTGGAAATAATTTCATAAAAATACAAAAAAGTCTAGCAAAGAGACGGTAAGTTATCAAACTGTCATTGAAGAGTTGTTTGTTACTACTTTAATTTTTTACTGTAAACCTAGAAATTTTTGTTCTTTAATATATTAAAAGATAACGAGCTAATGGCTTTACTGTAGCTAAATTGACTATTATTGACTTGTATTGGGCAAAAAATTTATATTCTTTTACTTAAAGAAGATCACATAATAAAAGAAATTGATATGCTGGTATAGTACGGTTTAAATTCAAAATAAAAGGTAAGGTAATTGCTGAATTATTGGATTCCACAAGAGTACTGCAACTAGCCCCAAAGCTTCGGACTTTGTAATTTTTCTTCCGATCAGTCTGGGTTTTCAACAGCAGGTCAGAGAAGATCGCCCTGAGGTATCCAGGCAGTCACAATTGCTGTTAACTGCAGTCAAGAAAGAGTTAACTTAAAAAGCTCACCGGTCTTCTTTAGGGCCATCGGACGCCGAACTACCTTGCCAACAAATATATTAGAACTTAACAAAGTTGACAGAAAACAGCCTTTAGGGGTCACAAAAATTTTAAGCACGCCAAAAGTCGTAAATAGGGTACATTGAAAGAAAAACTTCAAATGTATCTAATGAATACAATTTTACTGAGGCGTCAAGAAACTGACGCAGAAAGTTTATCGAGATTGGAACAGCAGCGTTAAAATCAACAAATAAAGAATCCATTACGTGAGAGATCAGCTATACATTGTACCTTCACAGCAATCTCTGAAATCTTTAAAGATCCTACTTCAGATTTTTAAATAAGTAGAAAATGTATTTGTGTTTTTGTGGCAATAAAAATGAGGGTTTAAGGTCCAGGTTTATTGTTCTGGTAAAAAAATTTGAGATATGAGAAAAAAAATTTTTTTTTAGTATAAATTTTTTGGGGGTTTAAAATCTTAACAGCTATAAAAAATAGCCATTTTCGTGAATTACACGGGAGAAACTGTAAATCAACGGCTTATTATGGCCATTGATTATTTTATGGCATAAAGAACGCACGGTACTATTCTGCATAATTATTTTTTCGAATTTTTACACCTTATTGTTTGACCAAATAAACTATATGGATTCCAAAAAAATATGTTTTTAATAAGAAGATTTGTTTTTTGAGATGTGTCAGGAATATGTGTAAAATTTCTAACTGAAAACGTTTCACATTACATGTCAACACACTCCGGTGTTTTATTTAGTAAGTCTCGGGCGAAGCCGAGACGGGGGGCTGCTAGTATATTATAAAGCCAGCCACTTTGGAACCAAGCCAGTTATTAACTGGTAGAATTCACGGGTGGAGTTTTTTGCCATGAATCTGGGTACCCCCGCCAATCAGGACCCTGATATACCCTCTGAATTCTAAGCGTTGGACCAGGTATCACAGATCTTTTTCGAGGTATGCGTTCGACGAATTTAATAGTAAAGCTATAAAGGAAAAACAAACTTGAGCAAATGGGACAATCTTCAAAAGGCAACCATCACGAACCAATCTCCCTACCTTAGATCACCAAAATGACTGAGGTCTGCAAAAAAGAAGGTGCTTTAGACATCAGTTCCTATAGTGTAACACCAGGAGACGTTAGCAAAGAGCTCTACAACTAGCTTAAATGCTTCAGAGCAATGTGCTTTCCTTCCGTCCCACCCAGTCTGGTGCTACAACCAGGGAGTCAGGTTTGCTGGAAACTTCAGTCAAGAAAGAGTTTGGCTCACCCATCTTTTTTAGGGATATCTAACATTACCAACAAATTTATACATTAAATCATAACGAATGTAGCAAATAACAGCCCTTTTTAAGGCTCACGTAAGTTTTTGACAATGCTTAGAGTTAAAAAAGGGTGGATTAAAAGAACAACGTCAAACGCTTCAATGTGTACAATTTTAGGCGTCAAGAAACTGACGTAGAACATTTATCGAGATTAAAACAGCAGCCCCAAATCGACGAATAAAGAATCTATTAAGAGAGGGATCAGCTTTCCATTACGACCCTGACATTGATTACTTAAATCTCCTAGCTAATAAAGTATGTGGAATCATATGTATTTGTATTTGTAGTAGCTCTAGAAAACTGAGAGATGAGACTCCAGGACTTTGCTGCTCTGGTGGTGAAATTTTGTGAGTGAAAAAAAAATTGTAACTATTAATTTTCTATCAATTTTTAATCCATGCATCTTCAACAAATAGCCCTTTCCGTATATTGCAACGTGAGACAGTGCAGATCAACAGCCCTAGGACCAACGACTATTCTATGACGTAAGGAACGCACAGTACTTTTCAGCACAATGAAATTTGTTTTACTTTTTTACAGCTCATTATTCGACTAAAACTGTATGGATTCTTAACAAAAATTTTATTAACTAGAAGTTTCTTATTCCAAGAAGTGTCAAGAATAAATGCAAAATTTTTAAGTGAAAACGTTTAACATTACATTTCAATACACTGAGGAGCTATACTTAGTGAATCACGTGTGAAGCCGAGTTGAGCCTTCTAGTCATGTATAAATTTTGAAAGCTTCATGTAGGTTTAGCGAGATATTTGACTTTTAATTAGCATACTTGAAGACAAAGTCTCATGAGCTAGTAATTTGAAGATGCCTTTTTTGTATGCAGCTGTAAAAAATTTGTATGCTTGTTTGAAAAAACTGGTAGGTATGTTATGTCAAATGTAGCTACGATAAATCTACTAAAATATTAGAGCCATGTCATGTAAGTTATGCCTTTAGTACATGTATATAATTATCAAGTTAAATTAAATTACATAATCTTCCTGGAAATAATTTCATAAAAATACAAAAAAGTCTAGCAAAGAGACGGTAAGTTATCAAACTGTCATTGAAGAGTTGTTTGTTACTACTTTAATTTTTTACTGTAAACCTAGAAATTTTTGTTCTTTAATATATTAAAAGATAACGAGCTAATGGCTTTACTGTAGCTAAATTGACTATTATTGACTTGTATTGGGCAAAAAATTTATATTCTTTTACTTAAAGAAGATCACATAATAAAAGAAATTGATATGCTGGTATAGTACGGTTTAAATTCAAAATAAAAGGTAAGGTAATTGCTGAATTATTGGATTCCACAAGAATTGTGCCAAAAAACAAGAAAGAATCAAAATCCATCAAAGTAAAAAAACAAATTTCTAAATCAATCTTATAGTGACATAGAAAAAGTGACGAAGAAGTACTTACTCTGGCAGTTACCGGGCATCGCATGTCGAAAGGATGACAACGGATCTCTCGGTTGTAATGAACTTGGCAGCGGCTGCAATGGATTTGGAAGTGGCTGGAGTGGATCCACAAGAGGTGATGCAAAGAATGGACCACCTCGTTGCGATGCGAAAGCGAAAGCGTGGAACGGCTGCTGCTGCCCTAGAAAAGACAGTACTGCGATCAACCGTGCGCCTGTCCGCCGGACCTCGGACATTTCCTCGTGTAACCAGTTTTCGTATAAAAATTTTTTATGCATCTTGATTTTTTTTATCATACAAGTACCAACCTGTGACTCCTGTTTCTGTAAGTTAACTTTTTTTTCTTCTCATGTAATAAAATTAAAGTACTATATCTTCAATCACAAGATTGTGTAAAGATACTAATGGCATGCTATATTTATACTTTGTATGTTTTACAACTAGTAAAACATAAAAACATACTAAGCCATGAAACCTTGCATAATACAAAGCAAACGTGTGCAGTCGTCATCGAATGTTCAAGTAACTATTAAGGAAAATGAGAAAGTTGGAAAAAAGTGGTAGATAGAGCGAAAGAAAACAGTAGGTATGAGGGAAAAAAAAGTTGAGGCAAGGGACAGTGATAGCAGCTACATGCAGAGGGTGGATGATACGCTTTATTTCCTTTTACTACGGTGTTGGCAACTCAATTAAAGACGTCCCAAAGTGGCAAGGTGCTCACTCACACTCATACATACTCGCTCTGTCTGTCTCGTTCTCTCTATGTGTTCACGGTGGAAAGCGACGAATTGACAGATAACGAATAGGAAGATACAGAGTGTATTAGACGGGTGAAGTGAAGAGAAATTGATTGGTCTACGTTTGTTGGGTCAAAGCTTCCTAGCGAAATTATTAATTTCATACTGAATCTAGTTACTCAATTATAGAACCACTACAATCGAGCTTTTAATGCAAAAAAGAGAAAATGTAATCCTTTCCAGTGCTTGTTTTCACCTATTCTTGTGAATCAAATTTTTGTGGCATTTATAACAGCTGAAAAACATAATACTGAGATACCTATACAGTTAGTACAAAAAGAAAAAGATTTTAATCGCTATATATAACTCCAACGTATAGCAATAACAATACGATAATTCGATTCACCATCCAGTCGGGCCTTCAAGTACAGAATGTCCATAGCAGCTGGGACGGTGACGGTAGCGTTGACAGTGTCAAGTCACTGGGGAGAAAGTGCTCCCAGTGCCGCTTGTCCGAGCAGCAGTAGCAGCCGCTTCGACACGGAAGCTTCAGCTCCACACATAGAACACGGAGAGAGAGAGAGAGAGATAGATGGATAGAGAAGCGCCTGGGGTGTTCGTAGCATCACCTACGCTTGCTCGCGATAATTCAATCGCAGTTCCCTAATTCCAACCCCTTCCCTGAAGAGGAGTTGGATAGGAGGAGTGGCAGTTCCCTCACCATTGAAATTCTACCGGCAGTTTGCTGAATAGGGAATCGGTCGATCGTACTACAGCCGAAGCTCGACACAATAGCCATGAACGTGCATTTACTATGTACATGTATAATACAATATACGTGTGTATGGACTTCACTTAGCTACAACTCTACCATGCCATTTGCGCAAAGGTGAATGAGCAACGATTCCAGTATCTCGCTTTGGACTAACGAGATCCTGTTAAGTGATCGCCAATTCAATGTGTATGTGTATCTATACCATGGGATACCATGGAAGACCACGACTATTTGTATAATAGACTTTTGTATGCCTACATCTCTATGATGTGTTTCTTTCTTTCCCTCTTTATTTAAGTCTTTTAGGCAAGAGTAAACCTTTGCCATTATAATTAATTTGTACACTGTTTAACAATTGTTATCTTATGACAGGAAAATCACGCTTGGCAAACTGCCCTATTCAGTCAACAAGTTCTTTTTCCTGCTCAAAGGATAAAAATGAATGGGGGTCTGACTTTTTATCGTTACATTTGTTGGACAGTTTTGCTTTGATAGTAGACTCCGGGACTCCATATGTTCTTGGAGTTGCCGATGTTGAGTAGCCTTGTCTGACATCACTCAAATCAAACATACGATTTTCTTTTGAATATTGCACTCTGACACTTTTCGTCTTCTTGGTTCATTTTTTTTAATGCTTTTGTTTACTTACTCTTTTCATGATAAGTCGTAGGTATGCATCTAGGTACTACTTTTGCTTCGCTAATACTCTGTTGTTTACTGCCAAACTATTGATACCTAGGTATGTAGGTAGTTATTACCTTGCACCTTTCAGTATGAATGCTTGACTGGGTACCTATTTAAAGGTTCGGTTAAGGTACGTTTACACATCGCAGTAACTAGAGAGCAGTAAAAATTCGTGCACTTAACTACTGCGTTGTTAACAACACATAAAATGATAATGTTATTATTATTTAAAAGATATTTCCTCATTTTTTGACCTTTATTTTATACGTGTATACTAATGTAATATTAATTTTATCTTCAAAAACAGCATTATAATGATTTCAAAAAATATCTGAGCTCCACTGGTGAATCTAAATGAGTAAAACAGAAAATTTCAGGAAGTACTATTTTTTTAAATTATTTGGAATTGTATGAATTGGTGTATAGTATTCAATTTTTTTACATCGCTACATGGAAATATTAAAGAGGGTGCATGAATTTTGTGAATCGATGGTAGCATTCGTAAGAATGAATATTAAACATTTTACGATGGATCCGTAGTAATTGGGCTCTTTACCCTATGATCACATTGACGAAGCATAAGAAAAACAGTCAGGTGAAACGGTAATACTTGAACGGTCACTCATCCAAATACTTATCACGCCAAATGCTGCGTAACCTGGAAAATCAACGAAACTGCAACTCTAGCGTTGCGCCATCGCGACTACCATAACCTTTGTTTTGTAGTATCGAAGCAGAACAATGCAGAATGTACTGAACTGGCCTGTAAAGTGACGTGAGTGAGACGCTAGTGACCGTTAATATAGTCTTTACTGGCTATGTTTAATTAAGTACTACATAAATATAGCCCTATGAACTTTAAATAAAATCTTTTCAATAAAAAAACTGTGAAGCTTACGTTCATAGTAGTTACCGTTATCACTATACCTGACCACTCAAGGTGATCGAAAAACTCAATAATGTATGCTCAATAGTACATTGAGTCCTTAAATGTACGGCAAATTAGCACCTTTCTCTTACCATGGGCTTTGCTGTCGCTTCATTTCACACCCTCCAACTTGTATACAGCGAATAAACATATCCGTATTGTTTCATACGTCTCTGTTTGTATGTTTATTTTTTCATACCTAATCTTCGTTCAAAAAGTCAGTGTCATCTTGTGTAATAGGGAAAGCAATTGTCTTAATAGTACTTAAATTATGTTTTAATGCTAGACAATATTATCACTACCAGTGAAGCTTTGTAGAAGAATACACCTCTAATACGATTTGAGAATCATAGTCTTAAATTTTACAAAATTTAAGACTAACATTTGACAATGAAATGAATAAATGATATAAAACCATCAGACGTGCCGTACCACACGACTACACCAAGTCAATTTAGCAGAATTTTAAGAAGATTAGTGACATTATTTATGTGATTTTCTGTAGTTGTGAACAATGTAAGCCTTTTTCATATGAATGTCTATTTCTACTCCCGTCAAAGATGGTGGCGGATGATTCAGAAAATTTATTTGACTATGTGACATAATGCACAGATTTGCCAGTAAATCTTTTTCTTTTGATGATTTTTGTATTCATTTTATTAATTCTACACGATGGCACATACTTGTTTGCTGACACTTGATTTAGTAAAAAATCTTACCCCCAAGAACCTACATTAGGTTAAGATCTTTTAGACTATATAAAATTGAATTAAAAATAATGTGCCCTACCTTTCTGTATTCCAATAAGACAGTATTGTTCTACTCATAGAGCCACCATAATTTATAAGCCACTTAATTCTTAGTTAATTAGCTTACTTTGAAATGCAATATAATACTGCTTAGAGGAGCTGTTCAATAGACTCTATGCAATAGGAATAACCAATTAGAGCTATTGCGAGTTTGTTTATTTTTTTCTTTTCGGTTTTATTTAAGTACTTGAAGTAGTGCAATTCATAGCTTACGCTGGAGTTCTGAGTTTTAAGATAAAATTTCAAAATACTCTAGAAAAACAGTGTACACCACAGATAGTAATTTTTTCTAACAACTTGAGTACCTCAAAGAATACTCCAAAAAACTATTATTTGATCTATGACGTATGACCTCGATAAAGTATGACAAGTTAATATATTGGATGTAACAACTACCCTTTGGTAGCAAAGTCATTGACTCCGCTAAAAAAATGATATTTTGGACTAAAATAAACTTAATATTGATACCAAGCGCAAACATTAAAAAAAAAATTAAATCAGTATGATTTTCTCTATTTTAGTGAGTTCAGTTCATGATGATTTAATTATTTCATATTTCATTGAAAACTTTTAAACATGTTTTTGTATGAAAGCTACTCTTTGCTTTCAAATTTATCAACAAGAAAATTATTGTATCAATAAAAGATAACTTTCAAACGGTGTGCCACATTTTTTTTAGTTGCACGAAAACTGCTTTTTTTTCTTTATGTTACTGGAACCCACTTCCAAGCTTCATAGTCTATCCTAATAAGAGTTTCTTTTGAAGTAACTATTCACTGATGTTGAGTCTACTTTTGATTACCCTAGAAATACTCACAACATTCAGAAGAAAGAAATAAGAATAGATGTGAAGAGAATAAGAGATAACAAACATTTTTACCACTTACGAAATAACTGCCAAGAGTGTTTGCAAAATAACGCTCAAGTTAGTATACACTTGGAAGTAACAGAAATTTCTTGCACTTTAATTAGGAACAACACGGAAAAAAAGTCCATCAACATTTTTCATATGCACACTTATTTTTTAATCCTCAGTATCATATATTATTGCTATCTAAATTTATAGTAAACTATCGAACAAGCACTAGTTAACTTTATCCTGTTATAGCTTCTTCTACTTTAAATTTAAGCTAACGTCCAACATACATATACATATATATTTCTAAACAGTTTCCACAGCACAATATACGCGAAGCCAATAGAAGATTATCGGGATGTGAAGCTAGCAACAGTCTTAGCTGTATTAAT